GTATTGTGCTATTTACTGCCACCTATTGGCGTGTGTCTGCTAGTTACCCAGTGGGGGTGGCATGGAGCTATAATATGAGAGGAAAATGTTCAGCCTCTCAGTGTGTCTCAGTGTGTGTGTGTATATAGCTTTAGCTCAGTATAGCACCATGTAATCATTTTTATGGACTATGTAGTTATAACAAAGTACCAAGTAGTGTACCTCTTCTCTGAGAGTTTGTAGCTAGAGATTTTGTTAAGCTTGTGATGCTAATAAGTCTTGGATGCTACATTATATGAGAAGATGTGTTTATATTTTGTATGATATTTGCATTTTATGGAATTTTGCATTTTTCTGTACCCTTAGTCAATGTAATTTTCCTGCATTTTTCTTCTTCCACTGAAGTCAACTGTACCCTTAGTCAATGTAATTTTCCTGCATTTTTCTTCTTCCACTGAAGTCAAATTATATGAGAAGATGTGTTTATATTTTGTATGATATTTGCATTTTATGGAATTTTGCATTTTTATCAATAAACACCAGTTAGTATATATTTTCTGACTGGATTTCTTTGGGAAACAAGAAATGGACATTGCATTGTGAATAGCTGCAATGCTGATGTGCATATCTTTCCTGCGTAACTTTTCCTGGAGTTTTTTGCTGCGCTCTGCACAAACAGGAGTGTTTGTGATTTGTACTCTGCTCGACATATAAAGAGATCCAAAGTGTTCTTTCACATTTCCTATATTCTCCTGTAGTCAATTCAAATCTAACTTTACATGTCTTTGCCTCCTTCCAGAGGCTGTAGAATATATGTATTCTCCTCCATTTTCCCCACATAAATAGGCAAAATTTATCCTTGACAAGAAATTTCCTCCATTCCCGGTGCCTTGTTGTGTTCAGTATTTCAGGTTTCCCTACACATTCCCAATTATTTGGTATTGACTTCAGTGGAAGAAGAAAAATGCAGGAAAATTACATTGACTAAGGGTACAGCAGAAGAATGTGTGTGTGTGTATTTCAAATTAATATTCTGCCCCAGAGCCTTTCAAAATTTTAAAAATTAAATTATTTAATTAAATTAAAAATCCTGCTGACACAGTCATCAAATTAATGGAAATTTTGCACCTCATATTACTTTAGTTTGAAACTTGAGTTTTATGGATCTTCTCTTGTGAACAGAAAAATATCTGCTTACATATCAATACTGGATTCAGAGATTTCAGAAAAGCTTCTTGTTCTTTATCAAAAAGAATCAAGCCTTTGGAATAATAAAAAAGCATTTGTTTCTGTACTTCATACAACTTATCATTATTGCTTTTAATCATGATCATTTGTTGTTTTACAGGTCACAGAATTAGTAGACTACACTGCTCGTGTTTACAATATGTTTTCAGTCTTCGATGAAGTAAAGAGGGGCATTTACAAAAGGGCAGATGTTACTCCAGAACGTGAAAGCAGCAACAAGGAAATAAATAAAGCCAAACAGTATATTAATGGCGCCTTAGAAATCAAAGGTGATCAATACATTTCTCTTTCTTGATTTCTTTTTATTATTTCACACCTGTGTACAATTCAAAATGGAAATGGTGGGACGGCTTTATCTCATCTGTTCTCAGCTATGCGAGTTCCTCACTAGCTTTGTGCTGATTTTATACCCATGTATTAAGGGCTAATCTATATGTTCTTTGTCACTGGCAATGGAGCCAACAGGAAAGGGTTAACTCCACCACTTCTAGCCAGAAAGCAGGGGTTGCAGCTTCTTCCTATCCCATGGAAGAAACCCCACTCCCTGAAGTTTTATACTCTGCCTTCTAAAGAAAGCAATGGCTTTCCTTTGGCTTCATCTTGAAAGCCAAGAATAAAAAGAAAAAAAGAGAGAACGAATAGAAGATTTGTGCTTCTCCACCATGTGAAAGCATATCCTGGCAGTGGCATGCCACCTGACTGGCATGCTGGCAGGAGGTTGTAGCTGAGAGGGCCACATGGCTGAGCTGGGAGAGCAAACTAGGAGAGAAAGAACATCATAGGAAGAGCCCACTATGGGGGAAAGAACATCATAGGAAGAGCCCACTATGGCCTCCAGAAGCAGTAGAGCATGGGGGAGGCAAGTAACCCTGTTGACTACAAGCCTGCCTGTGACATATTCAGGGCTGAAGTCCACTTAGAAAGCTTATCCCTCCATCTCACTGGACTGAGCAGTACCAATGACTGACCTTCTGATGGCCTGAACCCTCCATCTTGTGTTAGTGAGGAGTGCCAGGAGAAAAATCCTGATATTACCTCCCCATATCCTGCAGTTACCTCCCCATACATATATAGTGGGTGTGGTGTCAAGTGATGCTGCTAGCAGCAATTCTCCAGTTCCAGGATAGAGACCAGAAGGAGTAGCATGCCAGCATCCAAGGCCTCAGTAGGTACAAACCCACCAGATGTCTCTTTATTCTACTAGTGGTTGGAAATCTGGAAGAAGGTGGATGTGGAGGTATGTCAGAGAAGGACAAGGAGGCACAAGCTGGCTTAGTGATGACCAGCATGGTAGCTTAGATACAGGTGAGAAGGGGTAAGTTTTGGGTTGATCCTGGCTATCCATACAAAGCATCTCAGTCCCCTTTCCATTCCCTAGTGATGCTTTTTCCAGGCCAGAAATGATATACCATATTTGTTACACTAGTAGGGAATCAGCTACTTCCATGTCTAGAAGCCCATCCAATAAGCCCTAGCCATCTCCAGCAAGTTGAAGGCTATGACCTCACATTCAGATGTCTAGTCTCAGATGTTCTACATTATGTGAAGATTCCTTTATTCCTATGGGGGAGCATGATACAAGCCATGACTGAAAGCCAGTTCTTAAAGGTTCAGTTCAGGCAGATTAGACCTTGGATAACAGTTTCCCACAATTTGCAGCTTCCCATGAAAGACTGTTCAAGCCAAGATGGAATGGGCAAAACCAGCTAAGCCCAACTGATCTCCAGATCAGGTCCTGAGGGCTCAATGGCTCAGACATTGAGCAATGAAGCACCAATTGAAATCCAGTCTTATAGTAAAGCTATTCTAGGGGGAGAAGATATTTGGAGAACCAATCATGTTGTACAAGAAAACTTAGAGGAAGCAGGAAAGCAGATACAAGAGAAGTCCTGCATCATCTTTTCATATCAAAAACTAAAGACCTGTCCTTATTTTGGACAAGGAGCAGTCAAAGAAGAACATGGGGGATGCCCCTCTCTGGGGCTCTCAGCTTCAACAGTCAAGGCAGAGGAAGCAAAATCCAAGGGAAACATTCCTCAGCATAATGCCATTACGTCCCAGCTGGATACAAAACTGGAAAAAGTCTGGCATACTTTGAAACATGTCTGCCAGAACAGAGAGGGGTTGGATACAGAATCTGGCAGGGATATGCTGTAGAATTCAGAGAATGAACTAGAATGCAGAAGAAAGCCAAAAGACAGCTATCAATTGTTCCCTGTCACCAAGATAAAAAAGGTAATATTTCAGGATGAAGGAGACAAGTGCCTATAGAACATGAGGACAACAGAGTACATATCCCAGAAGAGGTTTTCTCTGCTGTGTTTTTAATTACTTTCTTTACAGTGCTAAAGATAAATGAAGATTGGAGAGCTATTCTGAACCACAGGTGTTGGAATAATTAATCAGGCATTGAAGCTTTAAGATGGAGATATTAATATTAACAATAGCTGTGATCAGTATCAATTTAGAGCACCCCCAACATTCATCAAGGTGTGGGTGAATCTTGTGAGCTATTTAAGAAGACAGAGTCTACATTTATATCTGCCTACACAATCCATTCATTAGAACACATATCACAGCCATTTGCCAGGAACAGGTCTATCTGGTGAACCTTGCTAAGAACATGCTGGCACCACGTGAGTGGATTCTACACCTGGAGGTCATCTCTTAAGACTGGAAAGAGATCCTAGCACCCAGAAAATCAATGGTTATGAAGCTACGAAAGTTATAGGTTGTGATGATCACAGTACAGCACTAGGTTCCCTAAGCCCACCTCCATTGCAGACTGCTACAATGGCTCCATCTCCCAATTCAGGATCAGGGTGCTAGCAGAAACCATCTGCACATAATGATGTCAAGCAAAGAAATCTAGTTGCTGTATTGGTAACTAGTCCCTACCAATTTGGCATAGAGAATGCTACTCAGTGCCTTTCAGGGGCCAGACATCAGCCTAACATAGTGAGAAACCCACTTTCAAAACAAGTCAGAGCATGAGTCAATCCTGCGGATCAACCAACTGTATCAGGTAAAAGTATAATGGTCCTGAAAGCACTATGAGATCAAGTGAGTGGGTGTCTCCTACTGCTATGAATAGACAAGATAATAATTAAATTTAAATCTTTAGGGCAAATCAGATCAAAGGCTTTGGAGGGAGCCCATCTAAGGACATGGGCAAATCAATCCTCATTCACTGTCTTCTCTTCATGAAGGATTACTACTTCCA